ATCTGTGGATTTCTTCTGCTTTTCAATGCTGTATCGATAAAAAAATTCTCACAAATACTTATTTAGGTCTTCATAGAGAGTTTGTGTACAAAAACAGCTCCAATTTTATCAGTGTTCGGTTTTCATCGTACCTTCACTTAAACAAAATTTCTCCAGTGCATATGGTGAAGTGTGTGGCTGCTAGAATGAGAAGTTCAAAACAAAATACTCTCAGCAAAGTTAAGGCATGGCTCACAAACAGATACTGAAAATAAGAGAAAAAATTGATATTTGTGATTCCTTTCAACGTACAGCCAAACTTGGTCAGAAGTAATAGTTTTATGAAACAAGTTTTTGGTTGCAAAGTCACATGACAACGCGGCCGCCATATTGAATTTTCAAGTAAAACCTCAGAAAAAATATTTAGTGAACTTGAAATGCGAAAAAGTTAGTGAGGGCGGGTGATCTTTGAGTTACGCGCTTCGAGTTAAATCTACACGTGTTATATACTAGAGGGTCTCAATGGGGTTAACCGCGAGCCGTGAAACGGCTGAAAAATTAGCCGTGAGTCGTGAAAATGAGAAAAAATTAGCCGTAAAATTACGGCTGAAAAATTAGCCTTGAGTCGTGAAAATGCTTGATTTGTGTTGTATTCCGCTGGTCATAAGCATTCGCGGGCTTATCTCATCATCTTTTGACCGATGTCTGCCGATTTCTGCCCATGTTGGTGTTATATTCACCATGATATTTCATCTTTCAGCTCTTTAAAAGAATTTATAAATAAAATTTTGACATGTGTACTTGAAGTGAAATCTCAATCTGGATATCACAATCGTGTTCAAGAATTTTGTTGGTGTTGCGAATTGGCCGACTGAAAATCTTTTCACTTCTCGATTCTCTGCAGGATATTTTCCATCTTTTGTGCAAATATTTTTTCTTCTTATGATAGTGCAGGATATTTTTTACACTAGTTTTCCGCTGCACGACTAAAATGTTTTTGGGCTTTTCAGACCGCGCAGAAATAAAAAATATCCAGCCCCTCCCCTCTGAAAAGTGAAATGACCCGATAGCCGGAAGTTATCGAAGCAAAAGTACAACACGTGTCAAACAAGTCCAACCCTAAAAGTATACAATTTTATAGATTCAGTATCGTTAATAAGCCGGATTGAAGTGGTTTCAAATGAATTTATTTGAATCTAATAATTGTACCTATATATAATACAATGTATTGATAATTAATCAGTCGTCATGTGTCCAAGGTTTCTGCCGCGGGATGCGGTGCACTGTTTGCAGTTTCGCTGATCGAGTGTTCTGTAGTTCTTCAAATACAAATAAGTTTTTGAAAATGTTTGTCTCATGGATACTACTGGAGTAATTTGATACAAGTTTCAGATCATATTTCCAAATCCCACAATCTCACAATAAATTAATCATACATTAATTCAGAAATGACATTTATAAAATGCAAAATAAATTCATTTAAGATTTACCAATAATATTTATTGGAAGAGATTTGGTACAATTCAAGTCATAACATGCATTACTGTCTACGACTAGTGCTGCGTCATCTGATCCAGACTTCCTTTCACTTAACCCTAGACGACCGAAAGAAATCAGAATGTGACACAGACTGTTGTTTACTGAACAAAACATCTCCAAATTTGGTATGAATTTAACATGCTATTAAAACAAGGCAAAAGGTCACAGTTTCTATTTTTACGACAAACTAACAACTGACTTTAAGCTGACTGACAGCTGTTTCTATTGGTTGATTTAGTTTGCTTTTAATAAGAAGGAGTGCCTGTCACAGCATAGTCAGACGAACCGAAGAGTTGGGAAGATACTGACACACCTGAATATTACTTCAGCTTAGTTACTTTAGATCAAGACTTCAAACCTTTTCAGAGGTAAGGTTTCGGATTATGGTTTTACTCTGATCTTATACTTTACCCGGAAAGAAGAAATATTTTGCAATGAACAATGCAGCCAGATTTCGTAGTGCTTTCATCGAAGTCATGTGAACGAAACGTGGTATGCCATATAGCGAGTTATAGACATGACACTCTTACTATCTAAGTGAAACAGACTTGATTATACATTTAAGTTTCACTGATCGATGCTTCTACTTCGATATAAAGTTCAATTTCACTATTATAAGCTCTCTAATATTACGAACCCATGACTAGTATTGCCCCTTAGTGTCGAGTCTAGTTGCTGAAACACGATACAAAATGCCACTCTTTAGAAGTTTTACAATTTGTAGCTTCAGCTTATTACAAGATCAGCTTTGCCTGATAGATTTTCACTGCATTTTACTCCACATTTTATAAAAGACTAACCAGGAATTACAAGTCGCGGTAGAATGATCTCCATGTTTCCAGGGGTTAAAGTGGCTAAATTTATCAGCAGAAACTGAAATCTTGGAGCACAGGTTTCACTTTCCTGTGATCAATATTAATCATCGCTTATTTTCGCTGTTACAGAAACTAAAGATGGCTACTGGATGGTCAACAATTACAAAAGAAAACACCAACTTTGCTCGATTGTGTAAATTACTCATCGATGGAGGAACTCATGCCCTTAGAGTCATTTTTGATGCTAAACATCCACCTCACGATCTAAAGAAACATTTGATGGACAGCAGGATTCATAACATCTTAAAGAATTTGAAGGCTAAAAAACTTCTACGACCAGAGCAGTGGAACAGACTGTATCCAAGTGTAGGAATCGCAACATCTACAGGTTTTGACATAACTCTTTTAAGTTTACTGTTACGCAATATCTGCAATTTGCCAACACCAGTAAAAGGATGGAACGAAGAGCCTGCTACAGGAAGTGTTAACGCGGAAGATGATGTAGTAAGGTTGAGATTATATCGTAACAAACTGGGCCACATCTCTGAACCAGCTCTATCAGACGCTGATTTCAACAAGTACTGGAACGACATTGAAACTGTTTTGTTAAGACATGGTGTAAACAAGACAGCCATTGATAGTCTTAAGACACAATCCTTCGAAACAGAAGATAAAAACTACTACATCAAATGCTTAAAAGAATGGATCGCTGATGAGGCTGATAGAGTAATTCATGAAGTAAAGGAATCAGTAACGGAATCAGAAAAGAGATTGTTGGAAAAAGTTGATAACGTGGAACAGAAGGTAGACCAACTAAGTTCAGAGCGACCTTCAAGTCAACCCGCAAAATCTAAAGGTATGATGATTTTATGATAATAGAGTAACGGCTATAACTCTCTGACCAGGCAAAACAAAACCAAACGCCAAACAATCCAACAAATAAACAAAGAAAATGAACTACATTCTTTAAAGTTCTGTGAGCATACGCCGTAAACACAGTCAACACCTTCGCGCACGCATTTCTTATTCGCCTTTTGTCTTTGTTTTTTTGCACTTTTAATTGCTCGCCAACCCCATCTACTGAGAACCAGTCATTCTACAAATGGTATAGTTATATATCCTTTTTTTCAGATGCGGAACTTTACTTCAAAAAACTAAAGGAAGCGATAACAAATAACCCATGAAATTTTCAAATAACAATATTAAGCAAAAAAAATAGAAAAACAGAGAAAGAAAAAAGAACGAAAATACATAGAACGTGAGAAATAAATCACGATCGAGTTATATATTTTTATTTACCATGGCTCAATGATTAATTTAGCCTGAGTTCATGCAGTGTTTACCCGTAAGTTTTGAAATTAAACCGGATGTACGCAGGCTAGATTAATCAGAAATCAAGTGAAATTTTAGTAAAAAATTGAAGTTAAAAAATGAATTTCATCTTCTGGAGTAATTACTAAACCGACGTTTATAGATAAATTGCGTACTCTGCCACAAACACTAAAAACTGTGCTACATAAATACTACTAAATAGTACTGCTAAATTGTGCTAATTCTTTTCTTTTCTATTGTTTAATTAACACTATTTTGTAGCAACTGAATAGTGGAAAGTGATGCACACATTTAATTTTGTACTCATTATAAAGACCATCCAGAGAAGACACTGTAAATAGTATAGTTAGATTATTTCTTTTCCGTTTGCAGATGTGCAACTTTACTGCGAAAAACTAAGGGAAGCAATAATAACCCAAACCGACGATCTACAACCAAAAGGAATGATCCATGCACCAATGAAGACCGACGATATTTTCACCAATGTGGTTGTTCACCACGGAAAGGAAAGATGTCCAGAACAAATGCAATCGAGTGGACAGCACCCTGTACACCGTAAAACGCTGACCGAAATCAAGCACTGCAGTGAAATTTTTGTTCACAAAGATGAAAACCTGACTTTCCTTAAAACATTACGAGCAAAAATTCGAAAGCTCAGAAAAAAGAATCCTAAGAGAATAATAGTTTCTGGGGAACCAGGAATAGGAAAGACCTTGTTTTCGCAGAAACTTGTTAGAGATTTGGCCAAGAATTCCATATCAATCCCTGACGCAGAGTACACTTACCTGATTCCCTTCAGATTATTAAACTCACTTGACAAAGAACTCAGCCTTCAAGAGCTGCTTAATCTCTCCCCTTTGCTCAACGAAGCCACAATGATAGACGACGCGCTAATGGAATATTTCTCTCAGCATTCAGAGAAATTATTGATTGTCCTCGATGGCTTTGACGAATATAAAAATCGCGACAATATACTCAAAGATGATGAAGGACCCAATGATAGTAAAGCCAAGATGCCAGTAACAGCACTTGTCAGCAAACTAATCCAAAAAAAGATCTTGAGTAATGCAGTGATCACGGTAACCTCAAGACCGGGCGAAGCCGACGAGCTGAACCAAAAAATCCACTTTGATCGCTATGTGGAAATTTCAGGATTCTCAGAACAACAGGTTATTGAATTTGTTGAGAAATATTTCAGTACAAAACCAGAAGAAGTAAAAAACATGGCACTTAGCAAGGTTAAAGAAAGCGCGCACTACATTTCATTTGGTCGCGTCCCTTTCCGTTGTTTGTTGATGTG